TTCCTTCCTTCCTTCCTTCCTTCCTCCCTTCCTTCCTTCCTTCCTTCCTTCCTTCCTTCCTCCCTCCCTTCCTAGCAGGACTGGAAGCAGCCACAAAGGTGATGGAGGAGGCACAAGTTGTCTGGGCCAGCGCTATTCAATAGACAGAGAACGCGTACTCCCAATTTTACATTTGTAGTAGCCACGTTTTAAAAAGTAAAAAAAGTGATTTTTAATATTTATTTAGCCCAATAGATCCAAATTATTATTATTTCAAATATGTAACGAATACAAAACAAGTGATTAATGAGCTATTTTTCTTTTACTAAGTTTTCAGAACCCAGCATGTACTTTACACATATGGCACATCTCAACTGGCCACTTGGGTCTGGTGGCTACTTATTGGACAGTTCAGGTCTAGAGTTTAGAAGTGAGGCTACGGCAGAGAGGCGCACACCACGCTGCCATGGATTCAGGGTGGGCTGGGGTCAGAGCGCTCTTTTAGAAGAATACGTTTTAAAATTCACAGTAGTTTTTGCACAACTAGATCAGAGCAAGTGACCCAGCAGGAACTCCAAACATCTGGGTGATGGTGTCAGGGGCTGGGGTGGGGTGTGACAGATGGGGACCAGCAGGACCTGGAGCATCTCCACTTACACGTGCACCCCCAGCAGAGCAGTGTTCAGCACCAAGCCTCTGGTCTGCACCCAGGGACCCAGACCTGTTGGCCTCCTTGTCCTCCCTGCAATGACAATATTCTACATAAAGTGTCCAGTGGGCGGGAGGGCAACGGACATTGGAGGAGAAGGAAAGGAATTGCTGATCAATGTCAGGCGATCATGTCAAGATGCGACTTTCCAGATTAGCTAACCTGCACATCTGCTCCGGTGACAGCCTCCCTGGGTCCTGGGTCCTGCCACGTTAGCCACGCTGCCCCACAGCTGCTCCATAGGCCTCTGGCTCCTGCCTCCTTGGTCTCCCTTCCCACCATCTGTTGCCTCCCCCTCCCTGGGGAGAGGAAGTCAGCCGCTGCTGCCCTCAGAAGCAGCACTCAAGTCAGATGCATCAGGAGGAAGCATCCCTCGTCCCCTGCTCCCGGCCAGGCAGTGTCCCCCACCCTTTGCCCACCCCCTGGGGGGAGGGTTTTTTTCAAATGCAGGTTCTGGGTCCGTGGGCCCTGGTGGGTGTAGGGCCCAGGCTGCTGGATGTGCTATGCCTTGAGGAGCAGGGCTACAGGAGAAAAAACAAGAAAAATGAGATCTAGTTTCCTCTAAAATTTTCACATTGAGAAAATTATACAACTTCTCCTCTTTTCTCTTCTATAAAAAGGGGAAGATGATTCCTGCCTCCTAAGATTTTTTGAGAATCCAATGAGATAAATAAGAAAACAGTGTGAAACATCTAAAGCACCATATAAATGTATATGC